TGAAATTAAGAACAGCTTGAAATAAATATTTCTTGAAACATCACGACATAAGGACACTGTGGACATACACACAATTGAGTAGCACAGATGACAAGGCATCATCACTGTAAGGTTTGTAGACTGTTTGTAGAGCATGAATAATGTGTTCACATTCACGCTTTGCTATTCTCTTGTGGAGTTGATGGTTGTGATGTGCTTGCCATACTATAAGATGAGGAAGTCCACTACTGTTATTGAAACAGTCAACTTGTCTGCTAATGGACAAAGGCTCTACAACATCTATAGAGAGGAAACATCAATAAACAAGCAGCAGACCCCCAGCGTATTTTTCATCATTGCTGTGGAGCCAACCATGAAACACTTATTTTCTATAATTCCACGAGCATGTCAGGTTCGCGCCATGAAGAGAAAATATACTGAACCTTGTTTACACAAAACACAAAATGCATGCAAAGCATTCTATCACCCCCATCCTAGCCCAGCCATTTAGCTCACATATATCACGGTAATCCCAGTGAAGAGACCACCACTGAAAATGTGCAGACCAATCTGTAAACATTTATGGGTAGAATCAGTGCTTCAAAAGCAATAAAAGAGCAAGCTACCAAGAGGGTCGCATCAATCTGAAGGAATACACAGACTGTGACAGCTCACATCAGTACTATTGATGTATTGATGTCACAGACACTAAAACCACCACCTTAAGGGTAAACTAGAAACTGCTGCTGACAGCAGACGTTTGGAAGTTGTTTAAGATCTGAGAAGAGGCAGAAAGCAGCCGGAACACATGTGACATGGCATCAGAGAAGCAAAGCTCAGTTATGCACGGTGAATGAACAGAGACTGTGACTATGCCATCAAAACCTGGTCAATGTCCATGAAGACATTTTCACATCTTGAATGCCCAAGCAGTCATTTCCACAGGCGTCCAGTCAACCAACATCATCCTGGTTTTTCCTGTGTGCTGTCTGAAGGATTAGAGCCACTGAGGATTCACACCTATCATCATGAAGTGCTACAAGAGGCTAGTCCTCCAGCCTCCGATCCCCACTTGACCCCTGCAATTTGCTTTCCGCTCCACTGAGGATGCTGCAACTTCTTTTCACCACCCAGCTCTGTCCAAAAACACATGTCAGGATGGTATTTACAGACTAGCTCATCCTGGATTACCTCAATAGTAGGCTGCAGAAATCAACACCTGGACAAGTCCAAATTAAGCCATTAGGTCCTACCAACCTCACTAACTGTTAAGCATTAAGATGGAAACATTATTCTTCAGGCTCATGTGAAAACCAGTGGCACAGGAAACATTTCAACAAATGTGAGTGTGCAAATGTCATCCAGTACCGATGAGCCAAACCAAACCTCAAAATCCACCACAAACTAATTCTAGAAGCTGGGGTTGTCTTGTTTCAGGTTTTACTGTAACAAAGTGGCAGCGGTGGGACTTACTGTCAGTCTTGGAAAGGAGCTGAAGTCACTGAATAAAATGCGGTCAGACCAAAAAGAGCACTGCAATGTTGATCTATAGGTGATCCTGGAAGCATAAATAGTGATTAGCTTACTACCCTATTACTACTCTACTATAGCTGGTGAGCAAAGTAGTGATATGCTAGCTATCTGTAATATGTTAGAAAATTGGTCAACATACTTTGGATAATCTGTCATATTATCCCCATCAAGTTAACAGGATTTCTATCAGCCAGTTAGGGAAATAAGCTTCACAGTCTGTTATACAGACATTTATTTGTGGCATCTTCTCTTGTCTACCTCTTTGTCTCTGAAGCAGTTTATACACCATCATAATTGGACGCAATGCTATTACAGTAGTGTCCTCTAGGGTCGCACTGTGAAGAAAGCTAGCCTTTTATTATCTAGTAACATTAAGGTCCATCTCAAAGTTAATTTACTTTCAACACAAGAGATTTACTCTGTCTCTGTCAGCACCGGCAAATTATGGATGTTCAGGTGCCTCAAGTTATTCAACTGATATTGAAGTGAAAAAAACAGGAGTTTGTGTGTATAAATGTGACTGGCTTGATTTGCTTTCTTTCTTATGTATTGCAAACTCTTATGTTACTGTGGTGGTTTGTTTCTCTCTTATAACACCTCTGATCTAGTTGCCAGGAATCTATAACTCTCTAATATCAGACAATTGTATTTCCTTTTCCCCATCAGTATGCATATTTAATCTACTATATATGGAGGAGAGGAAGAGGAGGATCGCATCCCTTGAACTGTTAACAAACCATCCCCAAAGAGCTAAAACTCAAACACATCTTGGGAAACAGTCTGCAGCAAGTGTGTGACATGCAAAGGACAACTATGAAATCCCAAGCACACTGTACAGCACTTATCACACACACATAGAGATTTCCAAGGCTAAGTGACCTGCATGCTCTTAGCTTTGAACGGCATAAGCACTGGAGCAGCCTTGGGTTCTGCGCCCAACCTGAACACAGTTATATGGCAGCTAATGGTGATGCAGGCCGCTTCCATGGTCATCCATCAGACCTCACAGGTAATGTCTACCAACTCACTTGGCTTACATCAGCCAGGAAAAAGGCCTCTATTAAGAAATGAATAATGCCAACTGAGGGGAGGTGACCTCGCACTGGTCACGTGTCATCAAGGCTGAGGCACGATTGGCTGCTTTTAGTAACTATCTGGTGCTACCAAAGGGGCAGCGCAGCATTTGACGGATGCTTGAGGCCGAGGCGAGATGGGCTACAGAGTCAGTCGTTTCACTCCTGTGATCTAATCTGTTACCCATCGTGCATCCTGCTTCACTGATGAAAAGGCAAGGTCCCATCCGTCACAGGCAGCTATGGTAAATGGAATTTTAACCCCCACCTCCCCCCACCCTGCCCTGTGCAAAAGGGTCTGGATGATGGATGATCATTGCAAAAGACCCCAGAGCTATGGAAAATTAATATCAGGAAGGGGAGGGGGGGGGGGGGATCTGTGTAGATGCCAGCTTCCTTTAGATGCTCCTCTGCTTTCTGTCACTCACCGAAAGCAGATGAGCTCTGCCTCTGTTTCTGTGCACCAAGATATTCAAGGCGGATCCACACGGTCGTCATTATCACTCTCCTTCAGGCAGGCAGCCCAGAGCCCTTGGAGTGTCACACCACATGCCTAAATGTGGTTTTAGATGAAGAGGGCTTTAATGGTTAAGAAGGGTCATTTATGGCATCACACAAGCAGAACAGATACAGACCTGAGGTATAGACTTTATATTTTGGATGGAAGCCATCCAAGGCAGTGTGCAAAATACCCAGTAGCAATCAGTGCTCCAGTGTTATGCAGAAGTACACCCCCCCAGAAAAAAAAAAATACATAAATGAAAATTTAACTGCCTGCGTGCAAAATGTTGGAATTTTTTTCAATGTGTTCAAATACATGTTTCATAAAGTGAATCAAAGAAACAAAAAGTAACCTTCAGTACTTTTCACACCCCAACCCATAATTTATGATTCGTGTTGGTGTTTATTGTAAAAGTGCAAAATGAGCACAGGTCAATGGGGGAGTGAGGAGGGAGAACTTGCAGCAGGGTGATACACACCGGTACAACGACGAGGCGCCTCTGCAAATAAACAGAGCAGAAACCCTGCCTACCTACAACTGGAATAGACATTTTAATGACAATTATAAGTGACAAATAATTTTACTGTTTAGTTATTCAGGGGTCTCAAGTGTCAATCAAGGCATTTCACGCTCAGAACAAAGGTTTTCAGCTGGAACGGCTGGGAACTCTTTGGTCAGGGCAATATTGCAAGGACCTGGATAGTATAGTTAAAAATACATCCATACTTTGAAAGAGGCCCTTCATTTTATTCTTTGGCCGAAAATAATTTTTTGAGAGAATGTCTCTTCTCATAAAAAAAATCTCATATCACACCGATCACAGTACACTAGTACATAAGTCCTTCAAAGTATTTAGTTGAATAATGTTGTTGCTACTACTGATGTGTATAAAACCCAAATCCAGATGTTTCACCAGACAAGAAAATTAAGTATTAACTATTAGACTTAATGGACTGATGCTATTTTGGGAAAGTGAAGACATTTTGTCCCATCATCATTTTTGAACACTCATTCAAATGGCTTATTTAGGGTTTTAAGGATGCCTATTGGTCGTTACTTCACACTCATCATCTCACAGGCCAAGCTACAACCATGTCCAGTCTCATGGAGATTATAAATCGATGTAATGACCTTTACTGTCATGGAGCTCCAACATCCCTCTCTGTGCATCAAATGCCAAAAGGTAACCAGACAAGGGACAGAGAACTTTAAAATGTGATCTTCTATTTGAAATTTATTACCATCTGTTGACATTTTTGGTTGTCAGTTCGAGAAGATTTTACTTTAATTGTCATTCTCAGAATTTAAACTTCAACTCCTGAGTTTGATGTGAGTTCAATGACTCAAACTGCAATAATCCCTTCTCTAAATCCAGAGCTCTTCCATTGTTTTCACTACTTAGTTACTTATATCTTTTTAGCACTAAATATTGAATTAGCCCAATAACGATACTGTTGTACCAGTGAATAACAATGAAAGCAATCTTTTGAAAGAGAAAGTGCTTTGGTCTTCCACAGAAGCTCAATGTCACCTTGTCTGGTTCAGATGTGGTGCTGCAAACTCAGCTGCACCTAAGTCCTCAGTTATTCTTCCATACGGCACAGCAGCCTCACTGTTTGAAAGCCTGAGCTTCTTCATTCTCTGTTCCCACTCTATGTCTGAGCTTAAATCCAGTATTTGAAGCTCCACACAGCTCCCAGCAGGGACACACTGCCTCTCTGCCTCTCTTCTCTCTCAGCCTTAATGGCAATTCTCATACCCTCTCTCATCAGACTGACGTTTCAACGGCGCTGACTGGTTGATGAATAAAATAGGTGGCTGCAGAAGATTAGGAGCAAAAAATGAGGTTAATGTCATGAGAGAGTTCTTTTCATGAACACCTCCTGTTTTCTGTCTTGTGTCTGTCTCCTCAGGGGTTTTTCCGCCGCAGCATCCAGAAGAACATGGTGTACACATGTCACCGGGAGAAGAACTGCATTATCAACAAGGTGACGAGGAACCGCTGTCAGTACTGCCGCCTGCAGAAGTGCTTTGCAGTGGGAATGTCCAAAGAGTGTGAGTCTAGCAGCCACTTTACTCAATGTACTGATATGGGCTCAATTCAGATATTGTCATGGGTTGAAATGGTAAATGGACAGCTTTCATGTTGCACTTCATTCACCGACTCATTCATGCAGCACCTATTCTCTATGGCACATTCACACACGCTGAGCCATCAGGGGCTAGTAGACAGAAGGAACCCCCAACCCAAAAATGTTGGTGTCTTTTACTTTCTGCTGTTTTCTAAGATTTAAGTGAGCAATTTTTATTATGAAAACAAGTACAAACCAGAATCCTACTCAGAAGATGTTATACCTCTGCCAAGGCCAAACAATGGTACATTTGTGTCTAGCTCTTATAAAGGAAAAATAAAAGGCCAAACAAAGTATTTGCAATGTTAAGGAAAGTGATGACAATGCTGACTGCTCTGTAAAAAACTTACAAACAGACAAATGAAAAAACATGTTTATTAAGTCTGATGTCTCCACATTTTAATCTTTTCTGAGTAAATCCAGTGTGGTTCTACCTGGAGATATTAAATCTCACTGTTCAGACACACAAGAGTTGCTGCGTATGTTAAATGTTCTTATTTCCACCAATGAAGGAGAACTGCATTGTTCCCAAAAACGTTTGTCAAACATCCAACCATTGTGATGAGGAGGACAAAACAAGTGAGCAGGCAAACAAAGAGCCAACAGCCTGAGTCATAAAGTGAAACACAGTGTGTTTAGTAAAACTCGGGCTCTTGCTGTTGTCAAGTCCCCCATTTCCCTTCGCTCCATTGTCATCAATAGGAAGAGTTTGCATTTCACAGGTTATTGGCATCCTTCGATTGCATCAGCATTTATAGCTCAGGTCCAGTTCATGCTCCATTAGCTCCATGCTCCTCTCTCTTATGCTGTTTCACACCTCAGCAGAGGAGTCATGGAAAAGATGATGTCTTGATATCCTAGGGCTAAACCCCCCCACAGGGCCCCAGATGAAAAAAGGGACCATTCCCTATCCTCTTCATGGATGGAGGTGATACAGTGGCATCATTAGCCTCGTGCTCTAAATGCCTGCTCCACAAGGTTCAAACTGACTGTAGGCCTATGCTGTGCTCATTTTTCAGGATGTGTGAATTTACGATTTTGTCAAACATCTTTTAGTGAATATGGCTGATATTTAAGCTATGTAAAGGCACAGTGGTGGGTCACCTGAAGAGTTGGTCAAGTTAAATGTGTGAATAAAGTTCTATTGTATTGTTATAGATTATAATATTATATAACTCTGCATATTAAAAGCTGGAATATGGGAAGTTCCAGGTTACTTGTCAGAATGTTCTCTGTGCCTCTGTCCATAAATGTACGAAAAAACATCTTACACAACTTGAATTTTTTAAGCCAACACCAGACATGCTGAAAAAGATAATCACATGCATACAACATAAACCTGCCTGCACAATCACAATAAACCACTTTGTACATGGAGATTAAAATTCTCAGGTTTATCAAGAAGGATAGAAAAAGGGTCCCATATTTTATAAGGCATTTACACTTCCTTTTGAGGAATGGCACAGTTTCAAACACAGCATAACATCCTGAGCTCAGTGGGAATGTGAGAGAGGGGCAGCATCTTTCCATTTGAATAGTAGTGCTCATGGAGCTGGTGGGGAGGTGAAGGCAATAACCTTGTTTGGCTCTGGGCAGAATCAATTCCTCTGGAGGGAGGGGGATGCCAAATGCAGCAGTCAGACGGATAGGCTCCATGGGACACTGTAAGATTTCAGAAATGTCACAGTTCAAGTAATCCTGAAGCCAAATGCAGACACATGTGACAGCAAGATAGGTGCAGTGAATGTGCTTTACAACAGAAACAGGCTTACATGCAGTTTCAGGCAGACAGGAAATCCAAACTCCGAAAATCCAAGAGGCTAAACCATAGGAACACGAGCAACAAACAGAAGCGGGAGGAAACACCAGGGAACAGATCAGACAAACCAACAGAAAGCATAGGGAACACAGAGACTTGAGCTGCTTTCAGACATACACTGAGCTCCAGATAATTTCTAGACATTCTCAGTGCTAATGTCTGAGTGAGAGGCTCTGGACTTTCTCTCATACAAGTGTATCTATGTGCAGCACTTTTCTATATGAGAAGGAGCAATTTATGTTTTGAGTATTGCCCAAGGACACTTCAGCATGTGGAATGAGGAAGAAAGGGTTTGAACAGCCAAGCTTCTGGTTGGAGGACAACAGCTCTTCCCCCTGAGCCACAAAATATTGCAGAGTCACACAGGGGGCAGATCATGACAAGAAAAAAAGTTCCAGTTATGCACATTTACCAATTTGAAATGGGTTATGTTGCAGGTATGTTTTTAAACACACAGGAAATTTGACCTCTACATTTCAACATCCACTCATGGAGTGTATTCATCCGATGGAGCACCTCAGGAGGTTAAGTGCCTTGCTCAAGAGTACTCCTAAGGCTGCTCCTCTAAGCTCTAGGACACAGCTTCCTTCTGAATAGAAGAATGTACCTTGCTAAGGCCAGATCCCAAATGTAATATGAAGAATTAGACTCTAGCTCCTGTTGCAGTTCTTACTACTGAGATGGGGGAGCAGCTTATGTTTGAGATGGAAGAATATAGGACTGACCTTTGATCCTTTTGGTGTAGGGTTTGATTCCGGAAATGTGTCTGAGGGACATTTTAAGAAGTTGCACAAAATGTCTGACTTATAAGTATTATAAAAAGGATCCTTCTGTGCACATACTTTGTCATCTGGGAGAAAGATGCATAACATTTCTTAATGTAAAAGGTTTTCAAAACATTTTATGTCCTTAATATTCAAACTAGACTGACTAATGAGGATTTATCACTGCTTGAAATTGGGCTTCAACTCCAATATCCAGTGACTTATAATTGTTTCTATTAAAACTAGATATGTCTGAGGCAAGAGTATGTACTGCACAAAGAATCACAGATAATTAGACTAAGCTGCATGTACTGTAGCCTCCAAAGTGACCTCAACAGGGAAACACAGGTTTTATGCTATTTTTACCAGCAAAAATATGAAATATTCAAAAAAGATATATTTCTTAATACAACCAAACTCCAACCTTGTGGTTAAACAAGGTTTTTCTTCTCCAGTTGCTCAGATAAGAAGACATGCAGCTTAGGTTAATTGGAGACAGTAAAAAAAAAATGCTCAAGGGCCCTTCAAGTCTACTTCTCTAGTCTGTGATGGACTGTCTCACCCAATGTCTGCTGGGATTGGCAGAATAGACAATGGATGGAGAGATGGATGGATGTAGCCCCTTAATGAAGAGGCACTGGTGAAGAAAGTTAAGAGCTGTTTGACACAGTTAGCTGGCTAAATTGAATGTAGCTCTAGATCTAGATTTGTGTAATGAATGTCTTCTTATTTTTTCTTTCATTCACAATGATTTGCTTGGAGTGCAATAGTAATCGATTGCCCAGCCATAGTTCTAAAGACGTAAGACTTACAACTAGAGGACAACACTTAAGCTTTAGTACAGTAGAAGACCTTGATGCAAGTGCCAAGTGTCTTCAATAAGAGCAGGAGATCAGGTTAAAAGGTGCACTGAAAGTCACAGTAAGTGCTAGTTTGGCATGTTGTGGTATTAAAGGTGTCAGGAGACATGAATCTTTAAGAGGTTCTTGAACAAAGACAGCATTTGGCACCTTGTTCCACTATCCAAGAACCTCAAATGAGTTTGGACTGTGGTTGCCTAAATATAACAAAGAACAAATAAAGCCAATAGTTCATTGTATTTAAATGTTAGACAGAAACCCAAACTACTAGATACACAAATCAGCCATGAGAATATCCCATCAGTTTAAATGATTACTAGCAGATACTGCAATTGATCAGTTAGCTAAGAATACAGTACATACATTCAGCTTATATTTTGTTATGGAGTTGTGTAGTTATCCCATGATGAAAGTATGTGGGGTGTTGACAGTCCAGTCTGAGGCTGGAATCAGAAGATAATGTGGAAACATCTGCTTTTCAACTCGTGCAATCATGTGCCTCTGCTGAAAACTGAAGTGCTACTTGAAGTGGAAGACAAAGGTGGACTTGTGTGTGTGTGTGCTGCACTAGCAGGAACATGATTGAGTGCATCTTTACATGAGTTGTGTTTTGTGTTATATTAGCAATCACGAGTCTTGTATGATTCATTATTAAACAAACAGTTTTCTATGATATAAGCCCTATGAGGTAAATTATGATAAGTGAATATGGAGTATATAAAAAAATGTATTTATTGATTGATCGATCAGTTTGGAAACACAGTACCACAAACTGTGATTTCTATTGGAACAGTACAAAAAGGCGGGGGGGGTCTGTTTTCATATCTATACACATTATTTGTGTATGTGTGTGTGTGTGTGTAAGGTGGAAACCTGGGGAGTTGTTGCAAACACACTTTTCACATCCCAGACATTCCCACTGGTTTAAATACTACAGACTCAATAGCCGGCAAAATTAAGTTTAGGACATAAACACACAAAACAACCACTATGTCGACTTATTAAAAACACATTTTTGACTGTGTTCAAAGACCAGATTCACTCATTCACGTTGAAGTACAAAAGAATAGAAACATATAAACGAATGGCCCAACAGTCCTTTTAAATCCAATCAAGCATCATCAAAAACTGGACTTTCTTTCCTGATGTTTCACCCATTTGCAACAGATGCAAGTCTATGACTGGTAACTTAACACATTATTTTTGGTTATGCAGTAAACTGTACACGTACTGGAATTTTCTAAATCATAAGGAAATTAGCTTCTATGCTTCTATTCTTCTTATCTCCTTTAGCAGAGGAAACACTGGACCATCCTTTACACAAGGAGAGGGGAAAATGCCGTCCCATAATTCTTTGAAAAGCAACGCAGCGTCCTAGTTTTATTCTCCTGAAACGAACCAAAACTTATAGAAATCCTCACACATCTGTCCATTCAGGAGTCACGTTGAACAATGAGATTATTTAACTTAACTAGTTCTG